GCTCCTCTGCCCTTCAGGACTGCCTCCCAAGGGACTCTGTCAACCAGTGTCCTGAACAGGCCAAAGTCTGCCCTCCGGAAATCCAAGGCAGCAGTTCTGCTGACCCCGCTCCTTGCTTCTCCGAGAATCGAAAACTCCATCGGTTTGTGATCGCTGTGCCCAAGAACCTCCCACCCCGTCACATCACCCACAAGTCCTTCTCTGTTCACAAACAGTTCATTGCAAAGTCTTGTCATGACTCATTTAAGACTTCAGTTGCTTTCTCAGTGGGGTCAACACCACCAGCCATCAGCTGAAACTACCACCACCACCATAAATGAACCTCAACTGACTAGTGCCTGGAGCATGCAACCTGCAGGGAGAGGTGGAGGGAGCAGGGCTTGGTTGGTCTGGTGGAGAGGAGACCAAGGGATCACCTAACAGCAGCCTGCAGCTACTTGAAGGGGAGTTACAGAGATAACAGTAGTGACAGATGAAACAACAAGGAGCAACAGGCACAGACTGTGGCTTGGGAGGTTCAGGTTGGATATCAGAAAAATAATCTTCCCAAGGAGGGTGGTGCAGCCTTAACAAGTCAGCAAAGAGGTGGGGGATCTCCATCCATGGTGGTTTTTGAGGCTTGGATAGATGAAGCCATGGCCAAACTCATCTAGAGTTGGTGATGGTCTTGCTCAGTGCAGGAGGTCCCTTCCACACAACAGGTCTGGGATTCGGACATACTGTCCCTTGACCAAAAAGCTCTGAGCCCTGCTGCGAGATCCCTCGGGAAACATTTCAGCCCCGCGCTGATTTGTTGCTAAAAGCAGCAGCTGTGAGCACTGGGCTGCAGGGGATTTCAGATGGGAAACCAAGAGACGTTCAGGGAGCGAGAAGTGGGTACAGGCACATTCCTACCCCCTGCAATTGCAAAATAAGGCAAGGCAGCTTGAAACCGTTTTAGAGAAGCCTCTGCAGCTTAAATAGAAAGCAGAAATCCCCAAGCCGCGGTACTGCAGTCTGACTGTTGTTCATCCTCCATCAGCCTGGGGATACTGAAGTGGAAGGTGGATTGCAGTCTCGTGTAAGTCAGCTTTTCTAGAGCATTAAATTGATCAGGAAAATTCAGTTATCTGTCTGAACCTGGTGAACAACACTTCTGGTGTCAGACAGATGCTTGGTTTATGGTAGCTAAGCAAGCTACCACGTAACAGCTGAGCTTTGAAGACTCTCCATATACTCATATAGCCCACCGCAAAGACAAGCGAAAGCCTAGCTCTTCTTCAGTCCCGTAGACATCATACCGTGTCCCTCGGCAAAGGAGCACACCTCGTCTTGAAACCATGGCTCTTCCCTGAGGGTAACTCGGTAAACCAGAGTTGTTGGGAGGGAGCCTGAGCCCAGGGTAAGTTCTCTGGAGGTCAGGCTGGTTCCAGCCCACTTTGCATTTCCCATCACAGTAGTAAGGATTTTTCCCATGGCTGAGAGGTGTTCCCACTTACAGACACATCTGCCATCGCTGTGTCCGTGCAAGAAGCTTTCTGTTCCTTCATCAGGCCACTCTGGAGCAATATCCATCTGTGAGCCAAAGGCACCTGGGTCCACCTTGATCTAAGAGGAGCAGAGAAGCTACCACCGCACCTTAGAGCTGCGTGGCATTTCCAAGGGGCTGCATTTTTATGATGCGCCATCGGCAAACAGGTTAAATAATACCGACACCTACAAACACGTATAAGAGCAAGAACTGCGCAGTGCGTTACCAGCTGAGCCTAGCAACCTTCACAGACAAATCTAACTCGTAAGCAACTGCACTAAAATAACTTGATTTTAGAGCTCAACCCACAAGACCATCCCTCCAAACTGAACTGCTGAAATCAAATCCAGCCCTGAGCAGAGGACAGCCCTCCAGAGCCCTGCAACAGAGTCTGCGCTCAAATCCTGAGAAATAAAGCACAGGCTTCTCTCAAGGAAGCCTTTCCAAAACAAGAGAGCTGCTGCTCTTGCAAACAGCAAATAGCATTATTTCACAAACCCTGAAATCCAGGCTGATACGGCAGCCTTTTCCCCCAGTAAGCCCATCTCAGAGAAGAAGCAGGTCTTCTTGGGAGGCGATGATGCGTTATTCATTGTGCACGAAGCAATACGAAGCACACAGAGAAAAGGTGTTCATGTTCAGTGCCCTACGTGGCACCTTGGAGACAGAGTTAAAGGAGCTCAATGCTGGGATCCACCCGTGCACAGCACGTGGGAGCTGAGGAGGGGAGGTGAAAGTCCTGCAGGGAAGGGCCCCATCCTGCACAGCACACCGGGGCAGGTCTGCCACGTCTCTCCTTTGCTCCTGGCGCATCAAGCACCCCCAGCAAGCTACAGCAGGACCCATCAGAAGTTTGCTGGAAAACAGGACCTCCCTGCTGCTGCTGCAAGCCAGGCATAGCTAGAAAAGTGGATGAGCAACAGTAAGGTCATTTTTCTGTTTTCCTCAGGTAGTCTATTAATTTCCTCAGGTAGTTTATTATTATAAATGAGTGGTGCACAGTGGGACAACTACACAGCACAGTTTGAATTCTTTGGTCAGAGAAATGCCCACGGCAGTGCCGTCTGATCCCCATGCACGCAGGTGTGTGCACAAAGGGACACAGGGACCCGTGCAAAGAAAGGCCATTCCCCATGGGAGGGGAAAGAAAAAAGAGGGTTGGCAGAGGCAGGACGCAGGCAAATCAAGCCCCAAAGCCAGTGAAGACCCCAGGGAGCTGAGCAGGGCTGGGCAGACCCTGCTTTTCCATCCAGCGTTGTGCTGCATTTCAGAGGGTGCTTCAAAGCATGAGGGGATGGCTTGAGAGCTGGGAAAGACAAACCCCATCCTCATCTCTGCCGCAGACTGGCCTAGGGCAAATCTGCTAACACTGCTTCTACCTCGGGTCTCCAGGCTGCCGATGCAGGCACAGCATCGGGTGCTTGGGTTACACAGGGGCAGGGGCAGGAGAGGAGCCCTCAGTATCCCACCGCACAGTGCGGGGAGTTCTCATCTCCCTCTCTGAAATCATGTCTCGATAAATCAGCATCTCAGTAAGTGATGCCTTCAGGTTTGCAAGGAAGTAGTTTAATCAGCAGCAGCTTTCTCGCAGGCCCCAGCAGACAGCGCACTGCAGACATATTCCTGGTGTGCCATGTAGTATCTTGGCTGTCATCTGGGATCGCGGCGCTGGACGTGCAAGGCAGATGGTGTAAGGCAGCTCTGCATTCACTGTTTCAGGGCTTTTTCCATGTCGGGAGTCACTTGTTGATTCATAGCTGGCTCTTCTCAGGCTGGGAAGGACCCTCTGGTGCAACAGCAGAACATAAAGCCACAGCTCTTTGACACGCCATGAGTTGGCAAATAAGTAATGACTTTTATTAGAGAGCTCCAGGCTCCTCCGCTCTCCGTGGTATCTATTTGGACCTGTAATTTAACAAACGTGGCTGCTTTTAGTGCACACAGTGCTGCACTCCCTGGCTGTGAGAGCAGCAGGCTGCAGCGAGCCCAGGCAAGAGCCACTAAGAGCAACTAGATGCCTCCATCCTGCTCATCTCGGGGGAGTTTAGGTGGTGATCAGATGCTCATGGGAGAAATGGCCGTGCTGGTTGGAAGGTGTTATACGCCCTCACCTCAGCTTTCATCTCAGCCCGTGGTGGGAGTCAGCACGTGCAGGTTGGGTGGGAGAGATGTGAGCCCTCCCCGTCTGTTCCTGCGCAGAGTCAGGCAGGCTGCTCGGGGCAGCAGTGGGGTTGGGGAAACCAGCTGGTTTTCCACTGAAGGAAAGATGGGAGTGCTCTGCATCCAGCACAAGGGTGGGAACAACCTGGGAAGGAGGAAATAATGTGTTAAACCATCACTCCATGCCTGCTGTAAATGTCTCCCTTCAGCCCCAAGCCCTTTTGGCTCTGGGACGTGGTCCTGGCTCAGGTGAGGCTGTCACCAACTCCATGAGGTGTGACAAATACACAGGGACTGAACTTTGGCTTGCAGCTTGCCCCACACACTACAGACCACAGCAATAATTACAGGATCAAGGATAGTAGGATCATATCAAAGGATCACAGGTTAATTCAGACTGGAAGGCATTTCAGGAGATCTCTAGTCCAGCCTCATGCTCAAAGCTGGGTCTGCCTGACCTTACACCAGGTGGCTCTTGGCTTTTTCCAGTTGGGTCTTGAAAGCCCCCAAGATGTAGACATCTCCCTGGGTCCCTGCTGCATTGCTTGAAGATACCTAGCAGGCTGGGAGTGGCCTGGGACAAGGACACGAGCCTTCAGGCATCAGTTATGATTAGACCTCCCTTAGCAGAAGGGAGTCAGTCTTTTCCTCTGAGCAGCTTTCAGACTAGCATGCAGCACCTTCGGACTATGTCCATCCAAGTAAACTAACTGGCATGAGCCCTGTTCTCCAACCCTGGGCCAACCCAGCTGGGCTGTTCAACTCATCCCACACACAACCAGGCACATCCGAACGGCTCCAGGGATGTCCTGCCCCAGGATAACCCCTCCTGGGTGGGTGGGTTGGGACCAGGCATGTTGACCTGGGACCTCCCCATGGCCTGTGCTGACAACGTCCTAGTGCAGACGGGTGAGGGACAGTGCCCTGGTTTTTGCCTTGTTCAGTTTACTAGCGCAGGCATAACTGCAGACATTCAGGATGGAAAAGGCCAGTTTGGATTCCCTTAGTTGCATCCCAGTGATACCAAACTGATGGTTCCCAAAGTCTCCTTCTCTTCTTATCCCAACGGCGTTACCTTCAAATGGCTTCTCTCCTGGTTTCTCCTTTGCCCACCACCTCCACTGAGCTGGGGTCACTGGCTGCAGCTGCCAGAGTCCTTGGCCATGCTCTGATCCTGCACCTCACGTCTACCTCCTCCTAAGGCAAATGGGAAGCAAAAACAGCCACGCAAGCTCTGGCGACGTGGCCAGCGAAGCCCTTTCCCATTAAAAACGAATGGTGGGGGGGGCTGACCACAGCTCGCCTGACTTTTCTCTTCTTTGCTCCACAGGCTCATTGGCACTTTCCGGATGGTCCTGCAAAAGGTGGTGGAGGAAGGGCAGGTAGAGGTGACAGACACGCTCATAGACGACAATAATTCAGCCATTCAGGTAGGTCATGAGGAGTAAGCGGCCACTGCTGCCCTTCAGTCATCGGTCCATCTGTCCATATTTCTGCTGACTCTGGGGGAACAGAGAAGTCTGTGTTATGCACCTGAATCCCCAAATCCTTGACCTTCATCCCATTATTCTTGGTCTTAAAGGACTAAGGCAGCCGGGACTGTCCTGAGGGTGCCCAGCAAAGGCTGGCTGTTCTGCATGCTCTCCTCCTGCACCTGAGCAATCCCACGCTGGCTCTGCCCCGGCCGTCGGTGTCTCAACTTTAATCCGTACCGGTAGTACTGGGCGCTTGAAATGCTCGACATTCACCGTATTTGCCTCTGACCTCAGCGCTGCTTTTATCTGACCCCTGTAGCACATGAGGAATACCTCGTGCAGCAGCTGGCCTGAAGTCCCACTCTTTGTACCCTTCTGGGGAAAATCAGGATAAGCCCCCCCAGCCGGTCTGGGTCTGCGCCCCTCATCCAGAGCCCCCGATGCCAAGGAAAAGGCTCCCTGTCTGCAGAGCAGCTGCTGCGTAACTCGGTGCATTTCCATCTGGTTAACGCATCTCATGGGAGCTGTTGCCCATGGAGACTGAGTTTTATAACACACTAGGAAATACAGCTACTTCTGATCTTCTTGGCTATCAAAACCCTGGTGTTTTAATTAAAAAATAAAAAGTCAGCTTCCCCCCTCTCCTCTTTTCTTATTCCTTTGTAAGCTGCTTCCTACACTCAGCATAAAGGAAAAGTGCAATTGCACGTAACCCTCTGTGCTAACAACGAGCAATTAGCAATGAAAAGACGAGTGGTTTCATTAGGAGGAGGCAGGAGGTAACTTCTCCTGTGGGGGTAGAGGGAATGAAACCATCAAAAGTACAAAGGATACAGTCCTGAGGAGGGAGAAAAAATGGAGGGGCTGCGGACCCAGGGTGCAAAAATAATTTCAGGGTTGGAGGAAACAGCTCCTGCTGTTCTCTTGGTTTATCAGGCTGAGAAGTTGCCTGATTAAAGTCCACGGGACCCTCCAAAGGAAGAAAATCCCATATTTTTAAGACCCTTCAGTGTCACAGGGGGGAGGGAGGAAAATCAATGGATGAAAATTAAATACAGGCAACTTCTTGATGTCAAAAATGATGACATTTTTAGAATGAACTAACCTAGGACTGAGGAGGTACCTGCACTGCCTGGTGTCTTGCAGCCTGGCCAGGAGCTTGGTATAGCTGCACAGCAGGTCAAAGCAAACAGTCTGCTACCCTTTGCCTCTTTATAAGCCGTGTGCTTCTAGCTGGAGGCACTTGGAGGAGAAACAACCTTCCCCAGCCCGTGCCTGATGTGCTGGATAACCTGTGCTCATCACCTCCCCTCAGAGGACCTCACGTCTACGTCTCCTCTGTGTCACGGCAGCTCTGCTGGAGTTGTTTTAATTGGTATCCACAGAGTGCTCTGGAAGACATAAATACTGACTGTCTATTGCTACAAAATCGGGGCAGCCCGGGCAAGGCAGATTTTACAGGAGTACAGATCTCCCTTGGATAAGACAAGAAATCACCCCGTGTTCTGCACGCCGCAAGCCGTACGGATGCACATGCACAAATCCTGCATTTCTAGTGCTTGCTGTGAGCAGAAATGCCACGTCCCTCTATTTCCCCTGCATTTCTGGGGCATCGTCTTAGCCCCGGGTCACCCCTGTTCAAACGAGAGCTGGGAGGCCCTTAGTTGCATCCCAGTGATACCAAACTGATGGTTCCCAAAGTCTCCTTCTCTTCTTATCCCAACGGCGTTACCTTCAAATGGCTTCTCTCCTGGTTTCTCCTTTGCCCACCACCTCCACTGAGCTGGGGTCACTGGCTGCAGCTGCCAGAGTCCTTGGCCATGCTCTGATCCTGCACCTCACGTCTACCTCCTCCTAAGGCAAATGGGAAGCAAAAACGCAACTTCAGGGGCGCAGAGACAACTCAGCTTCATAAATTGTCTCTCCAAACTGCCAGCTCCCAGCCTTTGCTCCAGCAAGAGGATGAATTTGGACTGAGGGAGCCTCAAGAAGAGAGAATCCAGAGGGCAACACCTGGGACATTTTGCATGGAGAAATATAGAAATAATTAACATTAAATCTGGAATAGCTCCTGATGGGCAGCAGAGTCAGCCCTCCTGGAGAGGTGACCCACTTTCTCCCGGACTCGAAAGATGCTCTTTCTTTTAGTAGGCATAGGAGTGGACCACGGCCAGTGAGGGCTGTTGCAGGAGGAGAAGGGGACTGAAAAATGATCAGACATGTTGAGGAGGCAGAGGTGGGCAGGTGTGGAAAGCCACTGCCCATCAGCTGAGACAGGATAACTGGCCAGCTGCACTCCTCATCCTTTGAGATGCAAGAAAAAAAGGTTTTGCTTGGAAGCATCATGTTCCTCGCATTGAGCAAACTCGAAGACAAATCATGCACAAGGGTTGCAAAAATCACCTCCAGAATTAGGCAAGAAAGCAATCGCCATCCGTCCCCTCTCTGCAAACCTCGCCTCTCTCAGCTCCTTAAAACCTGTGATTTTAAAGGCATGTTTCCTCCGCAAAGGCACCTGAGCCCGTTCTGGCGTTGCAACACCTCCAGAAGGGCTGCTGGCAAGCATGGCACAGATGCTCAAGGTGCTGTAATGCAGCGCAGCTCCGTTTCTGCAAGACGCTGGGCTGGCACCAGGGATCCCTCCTGCAGATTGTGCTCCCCGAGGTCCTACCCCAGCGCAACCATCCCACCTCCAAACCCACCCTGGGGTGGCCACACTGCGGACACGTCGGTGCGAAGCAGGGCCGGCTCCGAACATCAGCCCCCAGCTCTGGATGAAGGGAGAGACACATCTTCACAGCCGTCATGTCTTGGAAAGCACTTTCCGGGCATACCTTCATCTTTCCGTAATCAAATGCAAAGGAAGGGTTGAAAATTGTTTTCCTTTTTCTGTGCTAACTGCAAAATGTCACTGGCAGCTTCCAGCCAGCCCTAATAACATTATCGACTCGCCTTCGCAAAGATATTAAAAGAGCCAGGAATTGTAAAGCCAGGAGGGATATTACGATTGTGTCATCTGGCTTCCTACAAGAAAGGGTCTGGGACATCTCAGAATTTCTTATTATCTCAAGTGGTGGAAAAAAAACCCAAATAAAAATGATTTTAAAATGTCCAGTGACAGAGCAATCCCAGCCCTTCAGTGAATCATTCCGCTCCTTGATTTTCTTTACTGTTAAATTGAGAGTTTTGTTTCCAGTGTGAATTTCTCTTGGTTTTAGCTTACACCTACTAATTTCCTTTCAAACAAGTGATGATTTTATACAGCCCAAACCAAGATCTTTCGGTTTGTTACACCCATATTTTTTAATTTCTTTTAAAGGATTTTTAAACCTTTAAATTTAGTTTAAAAATGAGATTTCAAAATCAAATATTTCACAATACCGTTGGGGTGGTTTGAAAATCTGAAAAATTAATGTTTCAACATGGATCTTTGTCTCTCCTCTGCATTTGCTTCTTTAAACAATCCAGAACAGCTTGGTGAGGTCAGCACAGGGTGGCAAATCATTTTGATTGACTCAAATTTGTATTTTGCCATACGAAAAATAAAATCAGTCAAAACCTTCCACAAAGCTCTGTTTCCAGCTGGGTTGGAGTCACCCCTTAACTGTCATTTGCTAAACGCACAGAATCCTTCCAGGCCGTATCTCCTATTTTCCAGCCTTTCATCATCCCTTTGACAAGCTGCGGTTGGAGCAAGTCAGGATGCTGTACCTCCTCTTAAACACGCAGGTGAAAAAAGGAAGATTTTGTAATAAATTTTCCCGCTCACTGTTTGCCTCTTCGTTTTGTCCTTGTGTCTAAAATCGATTGCCTTTGCACTGAGTATAATTTATAATTTCTCCGTGGAAGCTGAATGGAGGTGGAGAATGGTTTTTACTTTTGTTTTGATCTTTGTAGCAGCTGCTTGCCTTTCAAAATAGGTACGTTTTCAGTGGAGATATTTTTCTGGCTGCTTTGCCCAAAGCTGTGGTTTTAGAAGGACTTTGGACATCAGGGCAAAGGTAGTGCCGGCAGTTCTTTGCAACAAGATGAACTTTCACATGTTTGATTGGGTTTTAAATCCAGAGAAGGATTTTTGGGGGAAAAATGTTTGGGAGCTCCGTTTTAATTGCTGCAGCAGCCTGGTGCAATCTTGGGTGGGTAAGTGGGGGATGACCATGTAGAAGAGGGAGAGGGCCTTACTCTTACTTGGTTCATCCAGAAGAAGCTTTAGATCAAGCTTGGACAGACCCAGTGCCAGGTCCCTTTCTGCCCCCGAGCCCCAGCCGGGCTGGTCATGGCCAGGCTGGGAGACCCCCCCTCCCCAAACCAGGATCTATCCAAACCTCCCCAGGGATGCCCATCCCTTGCCAAACCCTGCCCTGCCTGAGGATGGGATGGGGCCAGGCAGGAGCAAGGCGCCGTGCATCCGTGGGGCTTGGCAGCCCAGCACTCAACAGCAGGGCACAAATTCTTAACAAGTTGATGCACCATCTCTGTGCATCCCACCAACGTGACATGGCTTCATCTGCCCGTGGTGCCTTCAGCTGCTCGAAGGGTTTGTCTGCTGTGCAGGGCTTTTGGTGTCCCTCATATGTGATGTAGCTGCTCTGGCACGCAGCAGCGACTCCAAGTGAATCAGGCCCCTGAGCAGGAGGGAGGCTGCAGCGCCATGCCTGAGCTGGGTCAGACCACCTCCTGAAGCCAAAGACCTGCTCTCCAACTGTCTCATGCACTAGGAAAGAAAATACTTCGGGGTCAGTAAGGCTCAGAGATCAAGCCAGCTGATGCAACAGCTCTTCCTGCCTTTCAGACTTTGCAGGACCTTCCTTCCTCCCTGTGCTGCCCTTGGGGGCTGATTGTGTCTTCCTTGTGTGTTGCAGACCAGCATCTCCATAGAGATCAGGTACCAGGCTCTGGACGGGACAGTGGGCACATGGAACGACAAGGAGTTCCTGGAGACCCCCAGTGTCCGCTCAGAGGGGGATGGCAGGTACCCCTTAGAGACAGAGAGCCTCCTCTCCGGCCACCGGCAGGGCACGGACAGCTCTCCGGGCAAATCCAACCAGCAGTCCGCAGAGAGGAGCTTCAGAAGGTAATGTGATGCTCAGCGCTTGGAGATGTGTGGTGGCAGCAGGGATGGGGAGGGCTTGGCTTGTCATGAAAGGGCAGCATTGCCCCAGTGCTCCTCTGAGGTGCATCACATCCCCTGGCCCTCAGAAGACCCATTATCACATGGGTGATAATGATCACATTAGCTCAAGGTGAGGATGGGCTCTAAGTGTCCACCCACCGGTGCCAGCAGGTCCCTGGTGCTCCACCACGCCTGCCCAGCAGAGAGCTGAGTCTTCCAGCAAGCGCTGAGGTTTGTAGCACGCAGCAGATGCTGGAGAGCAAATGTAATTAAGTACAGATTCAGAGAGGATTAAGGGTCTGGCTGTTGGTCAGGCCTCATGTTGGATGGGATTAGAGCCACGTGTGGGGTGTAGAGCCACGTGTGCAGATATGTGGGGTCTTGCATCTCGACGGAGCTTGCGGTGCCCCCCCAGGCCTGAGCTGCCTTCAGGGCAGGAGGTGGAGATGTGCAGAGGGGCGAGCGCAGCTGCAGCCAGGGGCAGGGGGAGGAGGGCATGTCGGCCACAAAACCACACCAGTGTGGACGCTTCTGGGGTGGAAGGTGACGGTGACAGTGCCTCTGACCCGTGTCCGTGTGCTGGGGGGCATCGTGAGTGTGCACATCCCATGGCAAGGCAGTTGGCACGGTGGAGGCTGGAGGAGAAAGCAGGGGACACTGTGGCACGGGTGGAGGGAATGAGCCCTGGCACCTCCCTTGCAGCATTAACCCTCAAACAGACAAGCACTTTGTCAAAGCTCCCTCCACGGCCGTCTGTCGGGACCTCAGTACCCCAGCAGGCTTAAACGAAATCCCGTACCGAAGGCAGTGCCTGGGTAGGTGAGCCCTGTTCGGGTTATCTGAGGGACCCTTCAGATGGCCGGTGGGGACACCTCCAGATCTTCTAAGGGATGCTGTTACCAGCTTTCGTTTAAGGGTCCTTAGCATCACCCTTGTGTCTTTCTAAGCTCATGGGACCTGACACTGGATGGAAAGAAGCCCAGGGACTGTATCCTTCCATTTCTTGACACAAAGCTGCTGTAACCAGTTGCAAACACGGCCTGGTGACTGGGATGGGTGGAGAGGGCTCAGGACTGGGGACGCTGCAGTTGGCTGTCCATTGGGATGAAGTGCAAGCTGGGACCAGTTCTGCCATGAGCTGTGGCTTATGGATGCTCAGGGATCAGTCCTTGCTGGGTAGAACAGCCCGTTTACCACCCCATATACAGCCACGAGGCCAAGGCACGGATAGACACTGAGACCCAGCGATGCTGGGCCAGATTCAGCCCACCCCATCACAGGCGCTTTGAACCCTGTGCTCAAATCCTCACCCAGCTCATCAGGCAGCAGGAGAGTTCTGCAAGTGTGAAACCACTTGTGTATAAATATATTGGGTTCATGGGCTGCTAAGCCAGATTTTCAGGCAGCTTTACATAGTTTATGTAGTTGTGTTGTCCATGGTAGTGACTTTGTCTGTCGGTCTCCGCTCCAGTAGCTCTTGAGCCCATTGGCCTCTTTCAGTTGGAACAGTGGAGACATCAAAGTCCTGAACTTGCTAAAAGTCTTGTGGAAAGAGATAAGCTGGTAGCAGAGGGAGACTCTGTAAGTGGGACAGGCAGAGAGTGCAAGGCAGCCCAGGCAGGGCTGGGTCCTCAGGTCACCCACCACCCTCCTGGGATGAGCACAGCCCTTGTCCAAGGGCTGCAAAGTGCTGGTGGATCAAAGGACGGCCCTTGTGCTTCCAAATCCGCATGGGAGCCCAGCCTGGAGGCGTGAATCCAAACGTACCCCTAGGGACGGGCTGCTTTTTTAACAGAGTTTACATCTCGGCACCGTTGCAGCCGTACATCCCCCGCGTTGGGTTTATGCAATTGTGTGCTTCAGTAGCGTTTGCTTTCTGTCTGGGTTTAGCACTTTATTGTGGCCGTATAAGGGCAGAATTTCTTTTTCCCCACGGTGCGAGATTGAGGGAAGATATCTCCAGTCGCTCGCATCAGTCCTAGGCAGTTAATTAACTATGTGAATTGGGCTGAAACCTGTGAATTTTCAAGCAAATTGGAAGTGCAGATTCGTTTCCCAGCTCGGTGGACCGTGGCGTTGCTGAACAGGGAAGATGCTGAAGGATTTAAAAGGGGGGTGGCAGGGCAGCGTGCCAGGCGCAGCCCGGCTTGCGGAGTGGTTTTCAGCCTGTCTGTCAGCCTCGTGTGTTGGGAAACCAGCGTCCTGCCTGCGCCACGCGGACTTTGGAGGCGCAGGCGGCATGGTGTGAATGTGACTTCACTCTCACCAGAGATGTAATGAACACCGCGTGGCTGACGCATCGCCTGCAGCAGGCGGTCGGATGAATTGAGGCTCTGGATTAGGTCTCCAGGGGCTGTAAAGTAAGTCTAAGATGACCAGCTCGGCTGGAGGTTGAGGACAGCCACATTTAGCCTGACAGATCCCACCCGGGGGCAGTTTTTAAGAGGAGGTGCGTGGTTTGCTGAGCACCCCTGCCCGGGTGCACAGAGATGCGTGGTGGCTGAAGGCTGCTGGGCTGTGCTGGCTGCACGCAGACAGTGCTGAGCAGAAGGGCTTTTTGAGGCTGGTTTGTACGTAGCTGGTGAAAAATCCTTCCTGTCGGGGAGCTGAAGTAAATGCAACCGTTTATAAACAGGCAGCAGGGCCATGTGGAGGTTAAATACCGCTGTGGCATCTGCAAATGGTACTGTGGCACTGATCCTTGCACTGCGTTTCCCCCACAGGCCAGCGCCTCTTGGCAGGTGGGAGGGTGGTTCTTGGTGGTCACGGTTTGGTGAAAGTCCCTTGATATTTGGCTTCAGCTCCTCCTTCAGATCCACGATGCTTTAGAAAAAAAATCCCTTTCTACATAGGGCTTATGCTGAGCGAGGCCGAGTGCCGCGGGTGGCCCAAAGGCCCCAGCACTGCCAAGAGAACCGCTGTAGCCCCTTCCCGTTGCTTCACAGCCCTGGCTCACGGGAGCAGGCTGTGCAATCATGTGCTGTAAGCAAGCTAATACACACCTGTTTTAAAGGAGAGAGAGGAGCATCCCTTAGCAGACACGCCAAAAAAGCAAGGCGTGCTAGTCCCACTGTCCCAAGCTTAAGTTCTCACGTGGACAATTGCACTAAAACTGGTTTCACCTGCTGCTTTGGTCCCAAGGAGCTTCCCCATGTCCTCTGGTTTGGAGTCTTGTCCCCCGGCGGGTCATTCTGAGCGCGGGGGGCTGGTCAGGCTTGGCTGTGTCTTGCTGCCCTGCGCTCACCTCTGCCCACCCCAAGGGCCATGGTCATTAATGTCGCCACCACTACTGTTACGAATACCAAGGAGGGAAAGGGCTGATGTTTTCCGTGTCACCACCCTCGCAGGATGGAAGAGGACGAGATGTACTACCACAGTGAAGATGAACTTTTGGGAGAGGGGGACACCTTTAGCCAGGGATCCCTCAACACGAGGTAGGGAGCCAGTCAGCACCCGCTCGTGCTGGTGGCAGTGGGGTTTGCAGTGCTGTGTTGCTCCTGCCGTGTCCCTATGGATGTCCCACAGGCATTGCCCCTGGATTCCCATTTCTTGGCTGCAGGAGAGCTGGTGGGGAGAAGCGATGGAGCAGCTGGAAAAGCTTTCTTGGAAAGGATGCTCAGGAGGGGTGCTGGGGTCCAGGATGGAGAAAGGGCCTTGGGGTGAGGCTGCAACTGGGACACCCTTGAGGCCCCCTTCCTTCTCCAGGTCCCACCACACAACAGGCACAGCTGTCCCCAGAACCAGAGATCAGTCATGTCCAGTGCATGGGGAAGAGCTCCTTGTGATGTGCATGAAGGTCTGATTTCTGTTTGCAGTGGCTTTTCTTGCAGTGCGGTGCTGTGAGCTGTTCCCCACCGTGTGCCAGAAAGAGTTTGGGGAGGAGCTGCAAAAAAGAGAAGTTCAGGTAAAACCCGGGGACCAACCCAATGCCTCCGAGAGCAGCTCAGCCAAAGGAAGGAGCATTTTGAGGGGGACTGCTCAACTCCTGTGGGTCCAGAGATGGCAGAGAGCACATGAGGGTGGTTCTTCCTACACACAGCTCTTCTGGGGAGCTCATTTCTCGTAGCAGCTCCCCGTGCAGCCTGCCGCCGAGTGCCTCAAGCTTCACTAGCATGAAGATACTGACTCTCCGTCATGGGAATTTATGGCCATATCTGTACTG